ATATATATATATATATATATATATATATATATATATGTGCAATCACTTATGCAATTTGTATGAAAATACATTAGAAATATGTCATTTCCAAGATATTGTAAATAACAACACATAACAGGAATATCTGAAGTACTTTTATTTAAGATGATTCATCATTTATTTCTTATGTCGTTAGTGTTACATTTACATTTATTCCAGAAAAGGTTACAATACAAGAGATAGACATATAAGCTTTTTTGGAGTATCATACAGTCTTTCAGAAAATGTCTAACTTTTAAATAACTTTAACAGATTTAACAATAAAAGATCCTTTATTATTTACCAAAATTGAAAGAGAATAATATAGCAGTCACAAAAGGTGATAGAATATTAGAAAGTTTCCTTACCGTTGGAACATTCTTTTCCCTGACGTGTGTCATCAACCGCCTGCAAATCCCACATAAGTCACAAATGCAAACGATAACGGAGCATGACCAGACGATTGATTGCAAAGGGACCACAAACTAAGAAAAGACTCAAAGGTAAGTGCAAAAAAGATGAAGGTCAGTGCATACCGTGCGAACGTAACCCATAACTGATAACTAGATGATTATCAGATAACTGTGACCTCTGATTCAGTTAAGCAGATGCAGAGAGGTTCTATCCCTGCAGTGACAGCCATTTATAAATGTAATGCATTGAGCTCAGAATAAAACTTCAACAGTGAAATGATTGGCAAAAGAAGAATAGTAATTAGAAGAACAATATCATAAATTGCAACAAAAATCAACATATTCCTATAGCATTTAAGTTTTCCTAAAACATCTTCCAGAACTCTGCTTTACAACATTAAGTAATTTGCAATATGAAATAGCAAATATCACAGCCAGATATTTCAAATAATAGGTATGACGATCCTAGCACGGCAAACCTTACTTTTACCACATACAATTATGGTTAGAATAAGCTCATTTAAACCTTGAAAAGCCCATGTAAACAATCCTCAAGTTTGAGGCACTCTTTCCAGTATTGTGGGCTAAAAGAGTGCATGTCGTTTCTCAATACCAAGCAATGAGTCTCACGGGTTTTAGCTAAACGTTTCCAAGCAATCGCCTCCACGACCATATAATGCACTTACAGCTAACTAAAGATGCAAAAGATTTAGCCAACGAAAAGACAAAACAAGGAACTTCTTTTTGGTGCAACGACTCCATCATCATCTCAAAGACGCTTGAGGCGAAACAAACCTAAGAACAATTCAAGTCAAGGGCTCGCTGTGTGCCGTCTTTGTGATCTCTCCCTCGCCTAGTCTCGAGCGTTTTATAGGCGTCAAGGACGACGAATTCGAGCTCAGGAATCATTGTCCGTGACAGCAGAAAACGATTTTAATGCGTGAAATGGATCCGATTCCGGGATCTCTCTTTTCTTTTTCCTGTCGCTCGGCTGTGAACCATCAAGAAAGAAGGGCCAATGAATTCGAATATGATGAAAAGAACAAAAAGCGAGAGAGAGAGAGGTGATGTCGAGGAGCATCGTACGCGATCGTTTCTCCCCTTTCTATTTCCCTAAAACCATTACATAAACAAACCTCCCACGTCTCTTTCCGTCTTCGTCCTCGGAGAACTTTATCGGGTTCCCTGTACGCCCGGTAGGCGTTTGTTCTTTGTGCGCCCCTCGCGCTCTGATCGTCTTTCCCTTCGCTTCTCGGCACCAACGGCTGGGAATCGACCAACGAGTGCGTCAGAATCTTGGCCCACGCGCGGGGTCGACAAAGTGAAGGCGGAAGAGTAAGAGGCGTGCACGCGCAGATGGCTGGCGACACGGTTCGTGTCGCCGTCTGCTTTGTGCCCCAACCTCTCTCCGGCCTTTTCTTCACAACGATAACATAAGAAATTGTCGACCCATCACCACTTCGAGGACCGGCCCAGACAGCATCCACTCTTCGCGAGCTCTTCTTTGGTTGGAAAAGCGGGATCCACATCGATCCAAACCGGATGTTACATATGGCCCCTAATCACCGCGTAGCTTTTGTGTCGTATGGTTCATAAACGGCTGCCGCATTTGAACAGCTCAATCTCGGCTATGCGTGATCAAATCATTCCCCCGCTGACAGCTTACATGCACCGTCGCGACGGCATCGATTCCATTGTACTCCTTTTCAAAGCACGTCGGCAATCCCGTCGGCAATTCCATTGGACTACTATTTATTATTATTATTATTATTATTATTATGCTATATAGTCAATTAAAGATTCATGTTGACATATGGTAAGGGAATATATTTTCATACGCGATGGATCGTTTAGATGACGTATATAATAAAGTTTAATCCAAGATAAGTCAAAGAATCTATTGCGTGAAGAACAAATCCACAATAAAGAAAAAGAATAATTAATAATTGATTTTAACTCGCGGAGGACACTTGTGCTTCTTTACCAACTTGGAAAGTAATTCCTGCCAAATGTCAACGGCAAATGTCAATGGCAGTAAAAGAATATGTGATCTCACAAACCTACCTACCTAAGCTGTAGATAGCACTTTAAAAGGTCAAAGAACACAAGTTTAATTAACCCATTGATAAAGCTATGCTGCACTTAAGGAAAAAAATTAGTGAGTCTTTCCTTTCCTTGCATTAAACCTAAATTATTATTATAAACAAATATATTTTATGTTCTCTTAAGAACGGATATAAACTCATACATCGAAATCCCGATGGAGTATTATCCCATCGATAGAAAATACATTATTGCTAATAGTTCATGTTGAAATCATCACTCTATCAATAAAAGTTTGTTTGCTTTGACAAGAAATCATATTTCCTTACATTATCATGTAGCACATTTTCATTCATTAACGTAAACATTGAAGAAGACATCAAATAGGTGTAGAAAATAATAAATCATGGTTTACATATATCTATAGATTCGATCTAGTGATTAACTCCGCACTATAATTATAGGGATACCAAACATCATGCTAATGTGGATCAAGTTAAATCTAACCCGAGTTGGATTTGACTTGTTATATCATGTTATTTGTTATATAATGTGGATCAAGTTAAATCTTAGGCTAGACTTGAATTGAGTGTGAGTTCAATCGACTAGACTTTACCAATAATCTATTTTTTTCAAATAGTATATAATATAAAAATATTTAGATACGATTAGAACAATATCAACAAAAATCACATGAAAGTATAATATCTCTTAATAATATTTACAACTAAATGAAAACATCAATCCTAATTATTTGAAACTGAACCTTGAAATAGTAGCATCAAAGTACCCATTCATGGCAAGGAAAAATATTTTTAAAAAATATTTAAATAGAAAATACTAATACGCTACTATTTCAACTTCAAATAATTTTATATAATTACAAATAATTTTAGCATCAATTTTCAACATCAAATATGGTTTAAAAATTATCATGTCATAATATTAGATTACTTATTGATTATCATGTCATCGATATTCAATTCTAAGTTATTGAGAGGCATATATTATATATTTATCTAAAATCTAAAAATATAAAATTAATTACTACCTAACATCTTATAAACCATTAAACAACTTAAAAACCAAACAAACAAATTTAAAAAAAAATCATGGACTTACCTAAATTCAAAGACAACCACCAATCGTTATCTATAATCGTTTATAAAAATGACGACAAGGGTTTCCAAAAAGGTAAGAAATCTTAATTTTATTTTTTATTTTGTATTTTTTAATTAAAAATAATTAATGCCTTACTTGGGGGTCTCTAAAGTAGGAATAATTATTGAATCAAATTTCTATAGAGGTAGGTGATTTAGGAAAAAAATTAATGTTTTTTTTGTTAAGGCATAAGTGGAACTTGAATTAAAAAAAATATTTATTTGAGGACATAGAATCGAGAAGAATATTTAGCCAATGAATTTGATGTTTCCTGTATAATTTAGTATTACATATACTCATCAGCAAAATGTAAAATAATGTAGAAGAACAAATAAATATGACTCTACTAGAAAGAATTAGAGCAATGCTAAAAAAATTATCAGCCTAGCCAAAAGTCATTTCAGAGGAAGTGTTCAAAATTATGTCATATAGTCTTCTTCAATTGTAATTGATCTAGAGACTCCAACTGGTTTGTGAACTAACAAACCAATTACCTATTATTCATTATATATTGATGTTCAGTATATCTAATGAACAAGTAATTATAAATAACTATGTTATTTATGTCGAATATGAGTAGTGGGGAGCTTAATATTTGCTATGATTTATATAAGACCTCATATCGCATAAGCATTTGATATGGTCGGATTCTTAATAAATCTTGTTAGACAATCCAAACTATATCAAATGGATTGTATATGCTGTAATAAGAGAAAATCTAGTATAAATTGTGTATTTATGTAAGCATAAAAATCATCCGCTTCTATTATGCAAAAAATCTTAATATAAAAATATGAAATCAAATAATAATATATTTAAATTTATGATGCATACCTTTTGATACTATTCATATAACTTTTATCTGATTGGTAGATGCGTCTTCGGATCCGAAAGTTATAACGATGTCAATCTGTAAGAAAAACTAGACTTGTCTTTTTTTTCTTCTTATCCTTCATATGACTGCTATAAACAATAAATTAGAGATAAAAATGAGATGTGAGAAGATCTATAATCTCTAATTGACTGATTCACAAGATTGGAAATGAGAGAAGATTTATAATCTCTCAATAATATCATGTATCCCCGTATTTATATTATGTGTTGGGTAATATGAGGTCTTGTTTATTTATAGGCGAGAGTAGAAAATCTAGAATAAATAATTAGAATATTCCCTCTCATCAAGTCGGAATTATAACATAATTAGACTTCTTTTCTATTGATAGATAATCATAATCAAAATTTAATTATATCCATAATATATCTTACCTAATTGGATAGGGCTATTATAATCTAATATTCTTCCGCTTTACCTATTAATTGGTAAGATATAAAAGAAATTTAAAATCAAATTAAATAAAATAAATTTTTATTTAAAAATAATTTTATTTAATTAAATAATAAAATTTTGAAAAAAAATTACACCTGCGTATGAATTTTATAAAATAAGATAATAAGTCCAATAAACATAATACAACATTAAATATGACTACTAATACGAGTCATGACGATTATCCATCATTAATATTATACTTTCTTCTATATATTACAATATCATTAACCCTTCCTAATATAGTCTAAAATAATTCTTCTAATTTATCTTATCAAAAAAATCATGTTAACACATTCAACCATAATATATACGTACATAAATGTGAACAGGATAATACAAACAAATAATTTTAATTACATAAATAATAATATCAATTATAATATCCACTCAAGCATTCATCATCATATTTTTTATGACTTACTTATAAACTCAATCATAAAAATATGTTCTTTCAAATACTTTAAACCGTAAGTCTGAATAGATCAATAATTAATAGAATGGAACTTTTAAGTTTTTAATTAATATTAATTATTTCTAAATCTTTTTTCTCTAAATATTAAGTACTTTATATCATAATGTATAGAGCTACAATGGTACTTATTATTTTCAGAGAATAAAACTAATACGATATATCATAAAGTATCTTTAGTGATTTGATAATTGAGTCTGACTACAATAAGCCTTGAGATAAAATTTCACAATCATAAAGCATGGTTAGTGACATCAAAGTATGTTACAAAATTAACTTTATTTTTAATAATATAATTTATTTTATATTATTTTTATAAATTATCATGTCATAAAATTAGATTATATATTGATTATCATATCATCAATATTCAACTCTAAGTTATTGGGGGGCATATACAATATATTTATCTAAAATCTAAAAAATATAAAATTACTTACCTAAATTCAAAGACAACCAATAATCGTTCTCTATAGTCGAATTTTTCATTAATCAATATGGATAAAAAGAAAAAAAAAAGAGTTTCTCATTTATAAAGATGCCAACAGGGGTTTCTAAAAAAGATAAGAAATATTAGTTTTACTTTTATTTTTTAATTAAAAATAATTAATATCTTATATAAGGGTCTCCAAAGTAGAATTAATTGTTGAATCAAATTTCTAATAGAGGTAGGTGATATAGAAAACAAAAATTAATGATTTTTTTGTTAAGACATAAGTCAAACTTGAATTTAAAAAAAAGATTTATTTGAGGACATAGAATGGAGAAGAATATTTAGGATGAATTTGATGTTTTATGCATAATTTAGTATGACATATACTCATTAGCAAAATGCAAACTGGTGTAGAAGAACAAATGAATACGACTCCACTAGAAAGAATCAGAGCAATCCTAAGGAGACTCTAATGAGTTTGTGAACTAACAAACCAATTGGCTATTATTCATTACATATATTTGGATGTTCAGTATATCTAATGTATAAGTAATTATTAATAACTATGTTATCCACGTAGAAGATGAGTAGTGGGGAGCTTAATATTTGCTATGATTTATATACAACCTAATATCGTACAACTACTTGGTAAGATCAGTTGATTCATGACAAATATTATTCGATAACATCGTAACGTATATCAAAAAGATTGTATAGTTGTGACAAGAGAAAATCGAGTACAAATTATGTGTTTACAATTATAAGAAGAGCTTTGTTATGTAATTGAGGCACAATGCATGGTAACTACTAAAGTTTAGAAAGAAGCAATTTGAATTATAAGATTAATGGATGAACTTGGGCACAAGCAACGTAACATTACTTTATATTGTGGCAACCGAAGAGTCTTTGTACATTGGGAGGAATTCATTCGAAGAAATTGTTTTAAAATAAGGAGTTCAATATCATTTTTATTTGAGAAGTAGTGGAGAATGAAAGGTTGATTGTATAAAAAGTTTACACTTTAGATAATCTATTAGATGTGATGACTAAACCAATTAATACTGACAAGTTTATATGAAGTAGATTCTTTTGTGGCCCATGATAATATAATCATGGGTGATAAAATGCCAAAGTCTATGATATATGACAAGTGAGCTAAGTGGGAGAATGTGAGTTGTAAAACTCACTTTAAAAGAATTATAGAGCTATCTTTCCTTGTATCAGAGAAAGATATGAGTTTTTTTTTTTTTTACCTACAAGAGAGTATTATTTATTTTCTTCTTTTGGAGAAAATAAATCCTTTTGGCATAGTGAAATCTTGCTTTAGTTGATATTTCCCTAATATTAATTGGGGTTTTATCATGTTAAAATCAATTTGTATTATTGTATTTTTATTTTTCTCAATTTTAGTTCTAGTTTCAATATATTGTTTATCTTGTTGATTTTAACTCTAGTTTTAAAGGAAAAATATAATTGGTGAAGATTAAATCAATGTCCTTGTGATCGAACGAGAATGATTCAAAAAATATTTTTTTCTCCTTTTTGTAAGATTATTCAATTCGATTGAACTAAATGCTAAATATGGTTGTTAATTTATATAAAGATGCTATGAGAATGAGAAATGTTGCTTGTCATGAAATTCATTTTCGTCATGGTTTCAATCACGCAAATGAATCCAATCAACATCTAATCTATGTTTACATGTGGAACCAAAATAGATTGTGCTTTGAGGAACCAACAAAGTGGTTTACTATTTGGAACAAAGCATTGATATAACTCTATCAAGATAGATAATGTTTCAATCCACTCATCGTCGAGATGTGCGAGATATTAAAGTTTATCATGATAAAAATGTTAAGGTTGGTTTTTGCATTCCATCACCAGTCTAATGTGTAGAAGCTGATATGAGATAATCCAATTCGATCTGACTTGAGTTGATCATAACTCAAGGACGAACATAATAGTCTAATCCATATCAGGAGTTTTGTTGGATTAAACCTAATCCATGTTCTTTAACAAATAAAGGGTGGGACTTTCATAAATCAAAAAGCTCTAATACCATGTTACTAAATGTCTCGTGAAAAAAATGAAAGAGTTTAAGAAATTATAGAAAGATATCAAGGAGTAAAGAATCTTTAAAAATTAAAAAACTATTAAATAAAAAAATTACGATCTTTAAGCCTCTAGTCTTATTCATCTCTTCTCTCAATTGTTTATGGAGGGATAAACTCAAAATATCACATTAACTTATTTATCGTGGGATAAATTCAAAATATTGATTTCTCAACTAAAATCCTATCAAATTATAAAATTGATTTATACTTCAACATCTTTCTATAAATTATATTATATAAGAAAAATATTATGGAAAGCCCGAAGCTTCCTACGTTATCTTTCGATGTTATAATTTCTGAAATATATGAGTTCTGAGTCACACAATCTACGATAGCTGAGCTCCATGTGTCCTATATATCTTGATCAATTGTAAACACTCTGATATATTTGAAATCAATCTTATCAGATTTTTGGAATCAATCTCTAAATAGAAAATCAATGTCATCAACATAATCATCTACACAGATATCTAACTTTATTTTTATAGAATATTTATTAATCTTTATATCTTTTAGACGACTAACTCTGTCAGTTTTAATAATATTTTTTTTATATTTAATTACTAACTCTGTAAATTGCAATGTGAATCTTGCTTTTGTATGATCGTAGCATCTTTAATTTGAGAAATAATACTATTAGGGTAATCTGTGATGAGATCTCTCTTCTTCTTCTTTTATTGATATATTTTTATTTTCTTCTAGTTTTGTATCATGTCTTTTTTTATTTACTTTCAAATGATGTAGAATGATTATATATATAATTTTCATAAATATCTTGTAACATCAACTCGACTGCTTTTTAATCTTCTTCATTAAAAATCCACTCTTCTTTATGCTCTTTCCAGAGTAACTCAACATTTCTATGATGTATCACATCTTTAAAACTATCCAAAATAATTTCTTTGAAATCTTCTAATCCAAGATAAATTTGCTTCATGACTTTCCATCTCTAATAATATTTTCATCAAATCTAAGTAATAATGAAATTTAAAATAAATTATCAAAGTCATCATCCATACTTTCAATCTCCTTTTTTAGAGTTTCAAATTTTCAATCTATTGATCTTTCTCTATCTGTTAATCAGTATCGATCATCTTTCGGTTACTATAATTTAATCTATCGATTGCTTGATTTCTCTTGGTATCTTGTTTTATTTGATGATTTATCATGATCAAATTTACTCAATATTGATGTTACCAGTAATTCTTCTCTCTCTTTGGCTTTTCACTTGTATGATTTTTCTCTCTTTTTGAATCTTCTCTATTTATCTCTCTCTAAGAACAGGGTTTCTCTTTTTCAATAGTTTTATTTCTCTCTCTACAGTATCATTTCTCTCTCTAAACAGTCTATTTTTCTCTTAATATTATTTCTCTCTTTATATACTTATTTCTTTGATGTGTTTTCTCTCTCTAACAAGATCTAATCAAGGCTTTCAATTATATAAAATATGTACTTTTAGTATTTATCTCTTTCTTGACAACCTCTTAACTTTTACATGTCTTTGAGATATAGCATGTTGAAAATTAAAACTCTCATTCAATATCAGAAAATCTCTCATGGATATCAAGAAATTATGGAGAAGTATCCAGGAGTAAAGAATCTTCAAAAACTAAAACTCTTATTAAACCCAAAATTTATAATCTCTTTAACCTCAAATCTCTGAGCCAATGCTCTAATTCATTTCACTTCTTAATTATATACATAATGAACCTTTTATTTATAGAAGGATAAACTTAAAACTTTGATTTTACCTATGATGGAAACACTTATCTTCGTTCAGATTCCTAAACTAAAATCCTATAAAATCACAAATTTTGATTTATACTTAACATTGTTATTAGTTTATTACTATATCCCTCCCATTAACAATTATAGGTTTCAAATAATCTCAATTTTCTTTAATAATTTATAATCGATAACATGATTCTTATCTAATAATGTATCCATAACCATAATAAGAAGTTAACAGTCTTTTTCACACATCTAAGTAAGTGATATTTATATTTTTCTACATGCTGTTGCCATGTGGTTAGATTTTCACATTCTTCTTTTTTCTAGTGTTTTCTGATAGACAAATCAAAATATTTAAAAATAAACTTATTTTTTACGCAAAATAATGTTATCATTTTCAAAAAAAAATTGAAAAAATAAAAAAAAATTAAAGAATTGGTTTCTTAGATTCAAACGATTTAAAAAGGTCAAAAAAATTGATTTATGAGTTATCTTCAAAAAAAATCAACAACTCATCATTCAATTACCAAGTAATTTTAAACTAAATTTCAGAAAAATATTAGACAAAATGCTCAAAAGTAAGCAAAAAATATTGCATAAAAGACTCGCCCCACTCCCCTCCCCCACCCCCCCGATTTTTTTTCCAAAATATAAAATATTTTTAATACAAATGATTTTTCAGGTTGATTATTTTTCTCCAGTGTTTCTTGGCAAACAAATCAAAATATTTTAAAATATTTTTTATAAAATCGTTTTCAAATAATTTTTGAAAAAAAAAATCATCAGTTGATTATTAGACAACTGTTATGACCTAACTGTCCACAAACGCCATCGTCATCCCTATCCTAAATATCTCCAGCTGTTTAGGCAATTAATTCATCAGGGCTAATCGCAATATCATGTAACCTACCATAGCAGCGCTTAGAACTGGCATAGTTATTATCGTTTATATATTTATTATCTTATCCTGATATTTGTAATCAAAAGTCAACATCTCGATTGGGTATCATTATCGTCATGTACTATGTACATACGTATACAAGACAGAAACAAAAAGAACGGCCCATGATGGTCGAGAAAAGTCAACAGCTCGACTGGGTATCATTATCGTCATGTACTATGTACATACGTATACAAGACAGAAACAAAAAGAACGGCGCATGATGGTCCTCGATCATCATGCCATCACACAACGGCTAGGAGATGCACCGGTACGAGTACATGGAAGCGGTCGTGTCCATGGCGGGGTCGTCTAAGGCCCGGTGGTGGTGGTCGCTCTCCACCAGGCCGTAGTCCATGAGCGGGCGGTGCTCCAGCTCCTCGTCGTGGTCCTCCACGAACTCCGGCACCTCCACCTCGCCCCTCCTCATGTGCTCCCACAGGAACTCCAGCCGGCTCACGTATCGCAGCTTCCCGTATAACCTGTTCCACCCAGATCGGAAAAGCCCTTGGATTAGGATGCCATCAACTCGGATTAGAGTAGAAAAACACAACGAGACTTCGACTGGGCAAGCGAATCCCATCGGGAAATCGACTATTGGATTTGGTCAAGCCATCGAATTTTCCCAGGGATCGAATTAGGTTACCAAAACAGCAATGAATACGAGCCCTATTTTGACCAATTACGCCCTATAGTCAACTCCCTCGAGTTGGAAGCTAACAAGCGTTGTTTTCTGCTACTATGCGCCGAGGGCCAATCGGGGCAAAGGAAAGTCTACGGTTCACGATAGCAATTCTCAGTGGCCGAAACGTGCGCCGGGTGCAACGGGTCCGACTGGCACACGTTAACGGTACCCGATAACAGAGGACTAAAGTGCGCGTGACTCACCCGGCGCTGAAGAGGAAGCGGCCGAAGGTGGCGAAGAAGAGGCGGGCCTGCAGGCCCGGGTGCACGAAGTAAACGGCGCGGAGCCCGTCGCGGACGGCGGCGGGGAGCGCCTCGTAGACCGACCGCAGCGCCGTCACGCCGGGGAAGTTCTCGGACCTCTGAACGAGGGCGTGCATGTACACCACCACGAACGGCGCCCCTGCGAGCTCCGGGAACACCCTCCTCTCCAAGAAACTCCGCAGTACCTCCTCGCCTCCACCCTGCGCTGCGCTCATCAATTCCCTCGCTGTCGCAGATTACTCCCAAATCAGGAACGGATCGGAGGAATCGCAAAACGAGCAAACAACAGATGTGGATTAGCCCTTCGTACCTGGGAAGAACTTGCCAACGATGCGGAGGATCTTGCGGCCCTTCTTGTCCCGGCCGCGGATCTTGAATGCCTCCTCCAGCATCCTCTCCGTGCGATCACTGCTCGTCATCTATTTGCTACAATGCGTAAAACGACGATGCAAGGAAGAAAGACGGTTTCTCTGGTCTGTTGCGAGGAAAGGGGGAGGCGGAGACCGGGGCGTTAACATAGCGGAGGGAAAGGAGATAAAGACGAGGGGATTAGGAAGGAGTTAATCTCGAAAACGAATATTCCAAGGGAATCTACTCTTTTGTAACGGAGCGAGGCGTTGGCCTGGCGTGACACGAGCCGGGCCGTCACGTGGCGTTTGCTTCGCCCATTGGCTGGGCGGCGTACAGACGTTGTAGTTCGATCCGTTCACACGTCTGGCCCAGTCATAGGAAATCAAAAAAAGGCTCTCCCACCCGTTTTGGATTACTCGTTTTATCTACCTGTCTTCGTATTGGGTACTCTGGGTGGTTCATTCGGTGGGCCCCGTCACTCCTCACTTCTTCGTAAGGACGGGTCGGTGCGAACCAAAAGCGGTTGCTTGTGATGTGTAACCTGCGAACGATGAACCCCCAAGAGGTGACGGTTGGAGGAGCCCTCGACGTCTTCACCGCCTCTCTCTCTCTCTCTCTCTACGCGGTGTCCACTGTCCCTTTTCGTTCGTCTTGCTTCGGTTGAAGTTATCCACTTCCGTCATTTACGCGCCTTTAATTGCAATTAAGTCTCTTTTATTGAATATTAATACGATGATGACGACTGGTATTTGCGATGAAGCATACCCAATAATCACGACAGCTATATTCTTAAAATAATTCCCTTTTTTTCAATTATATATAACATCATATTTTAATTTGGGCCATTCAAAATTTTGAAGAGCGGCTCAATGATTCCTCAGTCAAAGGTGTAGCTGGATAGGGATCATTATTCAAATTTTCTATTTTTTTTAATGATATTTCTTATATTACTTTCTTTTGCTATAGATATATTGGATTCTGATTTTTCTTTACGAGACAAGATTTTAGTTGCACGCTATTTTTCCGTTTCTTGGACGGTAAAGTGCCATTCGTCATCTCAATGGGTCAAAGACAGGTTAGCTGGTCAATGAATAGAATGTGAAGGAAGGGTGATGGTTTCGGCAGGTGTTGGTATTTGGAAACCCAGAGGAGGCTTAGTAGTTAAAGAAACGTCCACCCACTGTCCGCAAGGCATGTGTTAGTACGATTCCAATAAAGATGCACTGTAGTACTTAGCGTAGCGTAGAATTCGTAGTCCACGGTCCACGTTCAACGGAGCAATTGGTTCAACAAATGGAGGAGAAAGAGACGGATAAAGAAAGAAATCTGATGGGATTCTGGGCAACTTCGTTGTTTTGTTTTGCAGCACGGTAGGAGTCTTAAATGATGCATGCCTCAGTACACCAGAGTGGCTTTGCAGTGTATCAAACTAGAGAACAGGTCTAGAATATTAGGATCCGGATATACTGTTAAGGTCACATAAGTGACGCTTAATCCTTATTCGTACTTGGCAGCACATACTCCAACGGGGAGCACTGAGCAAAGACGGTAAATAAAGAGCAGCTGGGAAAGCAAACGACACACAGAAAACGAGCAATCCACCCCTCCCTGAAGAAGAGCTATCACACTTGGGACAAAACCAATGCTTATTAGACGATGTGTGGCGGCTCCTTCTGCATCTCCACCACCCTCTTCCACGAGGCCCGGCCCAAAATCGCTTTGCACCACTTGAACACGTTCTTCCTGGCCTCGAAGAGCGAACGGCACTCTTTGTTCGACACCAGGCGCTCGGTGTTGGGAAGGTGCGAGAGGTCGGCGAGCGTGAACTTGTCTCCGGCCAGGTACTTGGTCTCGTCCAGCCGCTGCTCGTAGATGTCGAGCACCTGGGCCAGCCTCTTCTTGCTTCTCTCGATCACCTCCTCGTCCGGCACCAGGCCCGGGAGCGGCGGAAACGCCAGGTTGAAGACGAGCGCGGAGCTGGGCTGGTCGAAGTTCTGAGCCTCCGTCTGCAGCCATTGCTCGATCGATGCCCTCTCGAGCGTCCCGGAGCCGAGAAGGTCTTTGTTACCTTGTTCCACATACTTCTCCGCCAAGTGTCGGCATATGGCTCTGGAATCTGCATTCATAACCACATATAACATTCGGCATACGGAACGAACTTCTGGGGCAACCGCACGGAGTTTGTTGTCTTCTCTTACCGACGAGGGTCGTCTTTCCATCTTCAAAAGTTAGAGCTTGTCCAAAGGGCTGCGACGAGGAATGGTGCATGCGTTAATAAGACTTGGGTAGCTTAGCCATTGGTATAGATTCTTGAGCTCTCATATATACCTGTAGCTTGAGGTACTCGGGGAGCCTCTTCTGGCCCTTGTAGGTGTCGACGCGAATGAGCTGGAACTCGATCTCCTTCTCGAAGAGGCAGGTGAGCACCCTCGCCACCTCTGCCGACGTCGGGGAGCCGAAAACCTTCACGCTAGCCATGGTAAGTGCGCAAGGATGCTCCTGCACTCTGGTTCTCAGTGCATGGAGGGGGAGACTGCGAGGGGAGATATAAATACTAACAGGGCTGGTGGGGAAATTCCTTGCTTCACAAGAGGAGAATTAAAAGTAAAAGAAAAAGATATAAAGGAAAAGAGAAAAAGGAAAAGAGAGAAAGTTTAGCGTATAGGGAATGTTTCAGGGAGCGCATATCGTGCCCATTGGATGGGGATCAGATGGCCAACTGATGTTTGCTTTTATTGCTCTGGTTTGAGCTTCACCATGAAGGCAGTGCTTCCAGTGATTTTTGTTCTGACACCAAGAAATGGTGTTTGGTTGAAGACAGAGAAAGAAACCCAAAGGAACAACCTAAACCCATCAAGGCAGTGCTTCTTGTTCCAATTAGAACAAGCGTCTCCACACGTACGCGTGCACACGAGCACACGTATATATTGTGGTGTGAATGTTATATATTTTGTTGAATTCTGTCACATATCACAAACTTATTCTCTTAGATGCGCATAGAATGCTGCCACCACATATTTGTCTAGGCAAAGATTCTACATGGTTAAAATCTCAAATCAGACCGGGACGCTCGCTCTGCATCTCGACGACTTGCTTCCACGACGGCCGTGCTGAGATTGCAGTGCACCATCTCGCCACGTTCCCCCTGGTCTCGAAAAGCTTGCGTCCCCTCTCGGACATGGTGAGGTAGTGCGAGTTGGGAAGGTGAGAGAGATCAGCAAGCGTGAACGTGTCACCAGTTAAGTACTCGCTTTTTCCGAGCCTGGAGTTATAGATGTCGAGCACCTTGGACAGTTTCTCCTCGTTTTGCTGGATAAGTTCCTCGTCGGGTGGCATGTGAAGTGCTGGTGCAAAGGTCAATTGGAAGACCAAAGCAGAGGTAGGAGGCTCGAAGCTCACAGCTTCTGCTTGTAGCCACTGCTCGATCGATGCCCTCTGGAGGAAGCCAGTACCAGAAAGAGCCTTGTTTCCCTTGTCTTCGTACTTCTTGGAGATGTGTCGACAAATATCTCTTGAATCTGGCAGAAGAAGAAGAGGATCACGTTATCTCTAGAATGTAATCCATGCATGTTGCTGTAGGCAAACATCGAGCGGTGATCCAACACATACCAACAAGAGTTACATCTCCATCTTTGAAGGTTACTTGACCACATGGATTCTGCAAGGCCGAATGGAGGAGCAAGCAGACAACCCTTGTTGAATCGTAATATTCAAATGCAAGTCAAAGAAGAAGCAGCAGTTTGATGACTTGCCTGTAACCTGAGGAACACCGGCACCTTGTGCTCCCCCTTGAACGAATCGATACGAACGATTTGGAACTGCAGATCCTTCTCAAAGAGGCAAGTTAGCACCCTGGCCACGTCTGTGGCGGCCGGCTGTCCAAATACCTTCAACATTGTCATCCTCTCTCTCGCAGGTGACAACTTAATCTCGACGAGGGCTTTAAGTAGTCACAACATGAGGAATCGAATGCTTTCGTCGTGGGCAAGGATAAAAGGAATAGGAAAAGATAGATACCAAAAGGAAAGAAAAAGGTTCAAGCAAATAACAGTATGGAGAAGTACAACTAGTGAATGAACATAAAGGAGATTAAGTCCTTTCCCAGTGCAGCAAGGAAGTGCAAAGTATGATACTCCGTATCTTGTGAGCACTGATTGTTACCTCCTGGATCAACTAAGGAACCACATAAGTGAGACAGAAGACTGGAATGAAGTGTCTAGCGGTCTGGCTAGGAAGATCTCGAAGACTTTTGTCGGAAGACAACATCTAAACATTTGGTAGAAATCTGATGATTGTAGCTTGCCGTGGAGATGTAGGTAGCTGAAATCATTCGACTGGTCTAAAGAGGAAAGCAAATGACATATTAACAACAAAGTGTTGCGAGACATGATTTGCGGTGTGTTATGTTACTTTAGAGCTTATAACCTAACCCTTTGTATACGTATTAGTTGAACAAGAACAAATATCGTTTATCTTGATCCATGACACACTCACTTTGTGCTATAGATTCCAACCCAAGCATGCATAATGTTTCGACAGAAACAAATACGTGATGAGATATAGTCGCTGGATGCATGAACATTTCTCAATCATAATATTATTCCTTTTCTGTCAGGACCATGTAGAGCATAGGTGCATTAAATGCTAGCTAAAACAAAATAATCAAGGAGTAAATGAACGAATGCAAGAGATATCTATGCACATAAAGATGCTATCTCCATCTTTCAGATTTGCTTTTACATTCACCATCCATCATTTATGTTCCATTAATCTTGTTCAACAACTTTTTCCAGTCTCAGCATTAACTACACCAGAGAAGGATCTTGTAAAAGATCATGAAAAGTAGGCAGCCTCATCAGAGGCTGGTCCATGCTACACTTTAAAACTTATAATCCACTGTGATATAAAGAAAGTCTCGGAAACATAAAAAAGGCAAAAGATACATGCTTGACACGTATAATCAAAATCTTATTTTTCCTGTGGCTGCATGTATGAGGCTTGTTTTGATTTGCCTTACTATGTACGTATGCTGTCCCATATGCCTTTAGGAAGATAAAACCTTCTTATACGTAAACATAATAAGAATCTTACATGTGCATTCTAACAGTTAAGAAGCTTGTATACAAGTACCTATATGGCAGTGCAATTGGGAAACGAAAGAGGTATTGGAATGAAAAAGATACTAAGATATTGGCGCGGCTCAATCAGAACAGAGTACGTAAAGCCCTCTTCTTTGGCTTGCTGGTGAATTCTGAGTGAACCGGGCCAACATCATAGCAACTATTTCATGGCGTGTTCTTCTCCTCCTTCCAAACCATTGTGTTAGATCGAAGAGGAACAAGAGTTTATGGACGTAAAGCAGCTTCTCCCATCTCAACTACGAGGGAAAAAGAATGGAACTGTTTGGAGAAGAT